ATTTTGCGATTCTACGCATACAATACTGTGGATTCAGGCAGGACTCCAATTTACGTGTGTTCCTATGGCTAGGGGGAAGAGTACGAGTACGTAATCTTATTCTAATATGATCCTACATGAATTTTAAATGACAATGGGCTTCTCCTACTCTAATACACAGGAGGTGGTGATGGATGGACTGTACAGTGGGCTAAATGTTATTTATTTATCCTACACAGGAGATCCTCGAGAATCCCGTGAAGCAGGAGAAATCGCACTGTGGGAGAATCTCCAGCCTGAGTCTCTCCATCCCCCTGCACATCAAGACGGAACAGGGTCCTGTCCTCCGACCTCGAGGCACTTGGGGCACATCTTCTCAGAGCAGTCCCTGCCTGAGCGCCAGCTCCAGTCCCCGCCTGAAAAACAGAATCTGCTGCGTCTCCGATTGCGGAGAGTACGCGAGATCCCAGCGGCTGTACCGCTTTCCCACCGCCGAACCGGCACTGCTCAAGTGGCTGGTTAATACCCAGCAAAAACCGGGACTCGTGGACATCCAGAACCTGTTTGTGTGCCAGCTTCATTTCGAGGCGGACGCCATTAACCAAACGCAGCTCAGGAGCTGGGCCGTGCCCACACTGAGGCTGGGCCACGATGGGCATGTCATACCAAATGCCAGACACAATGGGAACATAGCCAACAGCCAGGAAACGGAGCAGGCCATGGAGTTCATTCGGGCCAACTACTGCGCCGTGTTGAGCTGCTTCCAGCCGAAAGGAGATGGTGTACGCTTCTACAAGTATCCCAGCGACATTGCCATGGCGCGCAGGTGGGCCACGAATCTCAAGCATCGCTCCATGCAGGCCAGCAGTCATGGCTTCCTGGTTTGCCAGTCGCACTTTGCAGCCGACTGTTTTGATCCGGAGACGGGAGACCTGCGCGAGGACGCCGTACCCGTGGCCACACTCGCAGAGAACGTGAAAACAGAGGGCCTGCTGCTCCGTTGTCTGGTAAGGGGTTGCTCTACGGATAACTCTGAAAAAGGACTGCTGTTCAAGGTGCCAAAAAAGAATCGTGTACGGGATGTGTGGGCCCACAATCTGTGGATGCATCCGATAGAGCTGATGGGCGAGCACTACATCTGCGATCGACATTTCGAGGCGCATTGCGTGAATGAACACAAATTACTGCACGCGGGCTCAGTGCCAACCCTCCACCTGGGACACAACGAACCGCTGGAACTACTGCCCAATCCCCAGACCTTCCAGGACTTCCCTGAGGAGTGCGAGTGCTGTGTGCCCGGCTGTGGACGCACCAATCGGAAGGAGGAGGATCTGCAGTTTAGCAAATTTCCCAAGTGGCGAGTCCTGTATGAAAAGTGGCTGCACAACTTCCGCCTCGAAGTGCCCAAGGAGCAGCGCATCGGGACGCTGAGAGTGTGTCACATGCACTTTGAGGAGAGCTGCTACGATGGCCAGAACGTGCGCAGGGGAGCTATGCCCACCCTAGAGCTGGGACACTCGCATCCAGACATTTATCGCTCCGACAAGGGATCGCTGTGGAAGAAGGTTCACAAGAGACTCACCGATTGTTGCTATCCCGATTGCTACGAGGAGTGTCACAAGGCCAACACGAATCGCACGACCTACGATCTGCCCAGCGATGGGCCACTGCGCGAGTCCTGGCAGCAGCACATGGCCATCCCTGCCAGCGGTGAGGATGGCTCCTCAGTGCTAAAGCTCTGTGCCCTACACTACATCATTATGTACGAGCACAGCGAACAGAGCTTCCCAGAACACGGACCGAATCTACTGCTGGACAAGAACTACGAGCACGCCCGTCAGTTGGCGTATCTGCGGCGCTTCTTGTGTGCGGTACAGGGCTGTCGTCATTTGCAGCCGCGGGATGGGGGTCCGATGCACGGCATACCCCGGCGGAGGGAGATCCTTCGGATGTGGGTGGAGAATGCCCAGCTGCGGCTGAACGAGCACGAAATTTACATGACGAAGCTGTGTAGCAAACATTTTGAGGCCAACTGCCTGTTCGAGGGCAAAAAATGCTATCCCTGGAGCGTGCCAACGCTCCATCTGCCAGAGGCGCAGCCCGGGCAGGTGCTCCACCAGAATCCCACCAAGGAGGAGTGGCAGGAAATGAAACAGAGAATGAAATTGGAAGAGCAGACGCCGAAGACGGAAGAGCAGGCAGATGGACTACTAATGGAACCCTATGTGAAGATGGAACCCCACGACGACGAGTCACAAACGGAGTCGGAATTGCTGATAAATGAGAGCACACTGGACTCTCAAGAACTCTCTCAAGACTTTCCAACACAAGATCCAATGGAAATGCCCGCCCTGGAGGTGCTCCTAGAGGTGAGCCATGTCGAGAAGCTGGATAGCTACGAGAAGAATGAATACCCTGCGGATACCTCTGCCAACACATATTCTCCGAACAAACGTTTCCGCCATCAGTACAGTGCCCACAAGTGTAGTGTCGAGGGATGTCGCGTGTCGCTCGAGGACCTTGACGGGAATCTGAAGCTGCACAAGCTACCCAGCTCCACGGAGGCGGCCGGGAAGTGGCTGTACAACATTCACGTGGAGATAGAGGATAAATGGCGGATACGCGTCTGCAGCCATCACTTCGACAGGCAGTGCCTCAATGGTTCGAGGCTCAGGAGGGGATCGATGCCCACTCTGCTGCTGGGGCCGCGTGTTCCAGAGACTATCCATCAGAATGAGTTTGCGCAGCTGCAATTGGACGATGCGCCAGCCCATAATGGCCATACATTGGAGCGATCCATTGGAAAGGTTGCGCAGATATGCGTTCCACGTCCGTCGCCGCCGCGTAAGTCGAGCAAATTCTGCCAGATCGAGGGATGTTCGAACCATCTGACCAGCGAGAATATGACGCTACACAAGTTCCCGCACTCGTCGTGGATCTGCACCAAATGGCAGCACAACACACAGGTGCCGTTCGATCCGGAGTACCGCTGGCGCTATCGCATCTGCAGCGCCCACTTCCATCCCGTGTGTATGGTCAATATGCGGCTGCTGCATGGCAGTGTGCCCACCCTGAAGCTTGGTCCACGGGCACCCGGCGAACTCTTTGACAGCGACTTTGAGGCCATAAACATAAAGATTGAAAAAATGGAGAAGATGGAGAGGAAATCTGAGGCTCAGAGAAGCACCACTGGAGATAGATATCCCACCATGCAGGCCATGGGGGAGAAGAAGTTCAAGACTGAGGAGCTGGAAGATGGAATGGAGGAGGAGGATGACATGCTCTGCCTGGAGCCAGAGATGCAGCTATACGAAGATCAGGAAGAACAGCAACAGAAGCCAAAGATAAATCTTGGAGTCCCCAATGGCGGCTGGAAAACGGAACTCCGTTTGCCATCGAAGGGTAGGGTGGCGTTCAATCCGGTGAGATCTGGCTACGACAAGTGCTCGCTGATGCATTGCCAGCGCCAGAGATCGAAGCACGGCGTCCACATCTACAAGTTCCCCCGATCGCAGGAGCACCAACAGCGATGGATGCACAATCTGCGCATACGCTACGATGAGAAGCGACCCTGGAAGTTTATGGTCTGCAGCGTGCACTTTGAACCGCATTGCATACGGCTGCGGAAGCTGCGGCCCTGGGCAGTTCCCACGCTAGAGCTGGGAGACAATGTGCCCGAGGACATCTATACGAACGAGCAGTGCCAGATGTTTGCTAGTGGACAGGGAGGAGAGATCAATGGCATCGATAGCGATGAGGCGGAGGCGGAGCCGGAGGCAGAAGGTGAGAGCGATGGGAATGATGAGGATGGCCTGCAGGAGGACGAGGATGAGGAGACAGACGACCAGGAGCCCATCGCCAAGAAGCGTCGTCGCTCGCGGCTGGATGCCGTCTGGCCTCCCGGCCAGGCGCCACCATGGAAGGTGAAACAATGCTGTCTTCCCTACTGTCGCAGTCCTCGCGGCGAGGGCATCAAGCTGTTTCGACTGCCCAACAAAGTCAACTCCATCCGCAACTGGGAGCTGGCCACGGGCATGAAGTTCAAGGAGTCACAGCGCAACACGAGACTCATCTGCAGCCGCCACTTTGAGCCGGAGCTGATCGGAGTGCGTCGTCTGATGCGCAATGCCATTCCCACCAGGCATCTGGGACCCACGGGCGATGTAAAGCCAGTGATGGCTCCACCGACAGCTGGTCCCAAATGCTGTATGGCAGATTGTACCTATGATGTGGCGGATGTGAAGCTGCACAAGTTTCCCAGCAGTAAGTAAATATAGCAAATCCTGATGGTCACCCGATCTTTATTGAATGTTTTTGCAGATCCCAAACTCCTGAAGGAGTGGTGCCAGGCATTAAGGGTCACGGATATGCAAAGGTATCGCGGCAAGCACATTTGCTCCGCCCATCTACCTGTCCACGAGGCCGTACAGTGCATTGTTTGTGGCGCGGAGAAAGCACCCCTGCTGCCGATGCTTAATTTTCCCGCTAACCGGAATCAGCGCGCCAAATGGTGCTACAATCTGAAGATCGAAACGATACCCAAGTGGGATATATCCAAGCACATTTGCTGTAAACACTTTGAGCCATATTGTTTTGCAGAGGCGGGTCTCCTAAAGCCAGAGGCGGCGCCCACGCTGCATTTGAATCACAATGATACAAATATATTCCTTAACGATTGTGCCATAAATCCTGCCTACAGTGTATGCGTGAAGGATGAACCCATGGACAATCAGGTCCTGTCATTGGTGTAGAAACGAAACGAAACAGAACATGAAATCAGTTTCAACTAGTTTTTAGGTGTAACATTTGATAGACATTACTCGTACATTTTGTGTACACCCAGTGGCCACCACACACATCACACATTGTCTAGTTTTCAATCGTGGATTTATTATCATTTAGTATTTTAATGCGTTATACATATATCTCCTGAAAACGGGATTGAAATGGCAGATGGAAAGCAAAATGCCATAAAAACAAACAACACACAACACAAAACATGTTCCTTAAGTTATTCGTTATTAATTTTAATACATATACCACACACATTTTATTCTGTGAAAGATTGCGTTGTCATTTCCATATACATATATATAAACTACTATGTAATACCTTTGAGCATATATGTATCGTATGTATGTATGTGTGTAAACCTGTAGGCGACCCCAACACAAATATTTGGTGTTTTTCTAAATATATATATATACATATATATCGTGGACAAAAAATGAAACTTTTAAGCTATGTAGTAAAGTAAAACTTGACTTGTGACTATGATCTGCGCTCCGTGGAAGGGGAATGGGGTGGCGTAAGGGAGTGATTGCAACCAAAAAGTGGCAACCGAATAATTGAATCAATCCTATGTGTATGTGTTTTCCCCCCTGACACCCTGTTGTGGATAAAAAAACTAACTATAGTTACAAAAAGTACTGTAAAAGCTACGGCTTTGCACCCTCGTTTGTCGTGGAACCATCCTCGTTCTGGGCAAAGTTCGTGTCCATAAACAGATTCCGATCCGCTTTATTTGACTGCAACAGAGAAACCATCAATAAAGAATTAGAGAAACAGAAATTATGGACCCCGCTAACCTCGCGGTACTTGTTTAAGTATATTTGCAGCGGTTCCACATAATTGTCGAAGCCCAGATTGCCAAAGGCCGCTATCAAATCATCCCCATTGACCGTCTTGCGATTCTCCGCGACACTACGCTCGATGGCCTCGCTGCTGATGAAGGATATGAACTCGGAGACGCACTCTTGGATGCACTCCCGTGCGTCTTTCGCGATTTTACCATTCTGCGGCACGGGTACCTTCATGATTTTGATAATATTGCAGATGGGCAGGAAGCGGTCCTGTTCCCGCAGCATAATTCCATTATCCTGTTTGTCCGATTCGTCTGCGGAAAGAAAAGCGATTTTGTACAAAATACAAGACAAAAGCATGCAAAAACAGACTCTCGCTTACCACCCGATGCCTCGTCCTCTTCCTTGACCATCATGTCGGTTATATATTGCTGGGAGTCCTCGCTATTGCTCATTTTCTACTTTTTTGTTTAAAAACTTCGATTTGTTTTCCTATTTACCTAAACGAGCTAGAGATGTGCTGGAACTATCGATTGGTTCACTTGATGGTTCTTTTTCTGTTCGAATGGCGACTATCCGATATACATGTACTCGATAGTACGGAATGATCGCATAGGTATATTTTTTTGGCGTGTTGTAGATCACTCAAACAAAAGGAACTGAAAATTGTACGCTTTGATTTGATTAATAACCATACGCAAGTCTTTTTTTAATTTTCGACACAATACAATAACAAGGAGCTCTTAAAATTAGCATTTCTTGTAGAAAATTGATTCATCAATCGGATAAAATTATTCGCGTAGGGCTGAAGGTCTTAGCTAGCTAGTAATCCTAGGCCGAATATAAAAAACGAGGAATATGAAGGAACTTACAATGAATTCGTCAGGATATTTACGGTATATTTTGAAATTTGTGACATAATTTCGGTATATTTCTGCTGAGGGTCAGACCGTAAATTTGATCGAGAGGTCTGTGGTCACACTGATGATCGCAGCGGTATATTTTTTGGCGTGTTGCATCCTCAAAAGCAAAAAGAACGGGAAATGCATGTGGATTTGAGTATAATTAAAGAGGAAATCGACATTGATGACACCACGATCAAGCTGGAGGGGGAAGATAATATGCCGGACGAGACAATGGATATTTCCTGTGGTAAGCAAAAGACTTGCATTTAATTGCTTTGTGAGGGCGAGTGCGTTGGTATGTGTGCCTGTTGCTCTGAGATCCGCGTGTGTGTGCAAGTATGGGGCTGTTATTACGCAGCGTACCGTTAACTTTGGATGAATGTATTTTTAATAATGCTGCCGTTCCAGCGAGTAGCGCCGTGAAAATACTTGAGGAGCATGCCGATATGGTAACAGTACCACTCAGCGATGATAAATCGGAGGACGAGCTCAAGTTTATAGCCAGCTTAAGTACGCTGGATGCCCAACAGGTAAGCAGGAGTGGGACATATTCATACATATGTATGTAAATGGGAATAGAATACCAAATAAAGTGTCTCAAATTACAGTTATTCGCAGAATCGTCGCAGAATCAAAATGGCTGTCCATACGAGTGTCACATTTGCCATTTACAACTACCCACTGAACTGGAGATCAAGGCGCACTTTGTTAACCACCAGATGAACCGTCACTTCTGTCGCCATGGATGCGGTGCCTGGTGCGGCACGCTGGAATTGGTGCTGGAGCACGAATATCGTCAGCATTCCCAAGGAATATACACGTTCTGCTGCAGGGTGAGCGTTAACTACGATTCCATATTAAATTCCGCAGTAAATAAAAATACATTGAGTTCTTTCAGATCTGTGATTTAAGGGTTGATGGCGCCGATCGCTTGGCCAGCCATATGAAAAGCCACTGTTATGTGAATCGCTATGTCTGTGCCATATGCCGTCTTCCTTTTGAATCTCAGATGGGCCTTAACCTACACCGAAAAAACACCACCCAAGTCTGCGGGCAGGTGGACTATATTCAGAAAATCTCTACAACACCAGAGCTCGTGGCAGCCAAGGCCTCATCACCAGCTGATGCGCTATACGATGTGAAGGTTAAAGACGAACCGCTGGACGCAGATGAGATGGGGCCACACCCACAGAATGAAGCTGGTCTTCATATGTACATTAAAGACGAGCCCCTGGACGAGGAGATGCCCGACTTGTGTGACAGCATCAAGACAGACTCCAAAATGGCAAATCCCAAAAAGAAGATGCCAGTGTCTTCGAAAGGATCGATCTGGGCAAGCCTACCCGTTGAGCTGAGGAACAAGCTGCGATTGCCTGCCTTGAAGCCCAAGCAAGAGATACAAACTACCCATCGGCCACCCTTCAAATGTAAGAGTCCCTATTAATGACTTATTCAATTTGATGAACATTAAGGAATGTTGTATTTCTTGCAGTTTCAAAATGGAATGGCCCACCAACATCAAATGCCACTTCTGGTGGAGTCCAGCGGAGTTTATTCAAAGTTTTGCCTAACGGCCAAAAAGTAAACGTGACGGATATGTTAAAGAAAGTCGCAAATTCTAATACGGCTATGCGTGGAAAGCCCCCAATATCCCCTAATATACTGAAAGTATTGCCCAACAACTGCATGGTCATTAAATTGCCGCCAAATACAAAAATTGTAAAGCTGTCGAATCAGCCAAGTGCAGTTGCCACTGCAACGTCCCCACAGAACGTTGTTCAGTTGCCAGACTCGCTTACAATTAGCAAGATAACGCCAGAAAGAGCGTCATCCCCCAATACAACTAGTCCAGTGGACTATAAACCTCTTCTTCCTCCCAGGGATCGCTGTTACTCCCTGAAGAATCGACCAGAATGTCAGGAATTGATTACAGAATTTCAAAATCAAATACGCTCCATTGAAAAAACGCTTCCCATTCCGGGAACAGTTTTACATGCAAGGGATAAAGAAACTAACGGACTAAACGCTGAACCAGTAGTCCCAGTGATTAGCACATTGGCAGGCGAGCCCTCGAATGTGGAAGTATTTCTTAATCCCGGCGCCCATACGGTGATGGCGGAACTGCGGAAGAAATACCCGAACAACCGTTTCTTCTGGATTTGTCCCATCTGTACGCGCAGCTATGAGCAAGGCTCCGCATTTCGCAGGCATCTGGTCCAGGAGCATAAACTGAAGAGCGCCAACTTTTCAGAGCTAAAAGTAGATTTGAAGCCCGTAAGAAGTGAGTAAAATGCCCCTGCGTAATTTCCTGTCAAACAACTTACATTATATAATTTATTCCCGCCGAAACTAATCTAGAACCGGAATCAAGTGGGACGGAGTTTGCTTCCTTGAGTGATTCAGCTTCGGAGATATCAAAGCCAGCAACTCCGACAAAAGAAATACCACCTTTGCTTAAATCCGCACCGACTCCAGCAATCGAAGCAGTACCATCAGAGTCCGAACCAAAGATAAATACACTCAAGCCCCCACATATAGATGACACAAAGCTATCGCAGTTCCAGTGCCCCACGTGCCTTAAAATCTTCACCACCCAGGGAGGCATGCGAATTCATATGTCCATCCACACGGGGGAAATGCCATACAAGTGCCAATATTGCGAAAAGCGCTTTCGGACTCCAGGTCAAGTGCGGGTGCACTTGCGCCGACACACTGGGGAGAAACCCTTTCAATGCGAGGTAAAATATAACACTATTTATTATTTTCTCCTTGAAATGTGTTTTAATTGTGGGCCAACAGATCTGCGGACTGCATTTTACTCATCGAGAGACACTCATCTCTCACCTATCGCGCCATATTGGAATGAAGCGCTACAAGTGCTACGGCTGTGACAAGTACTTTGTTGTAGTTAGCGGCCTTCGGGCCCATCGTCGCCTGCGGCCGGATACGTGCGGCAAGGTTAAGTTCACGGCCCGAGCTCATGGGCCTCGGGTGCGTGTCATAAAAGGGCAAGTAGTCTTTGAGCACCAGCCCATCTATAATGGCTACTTGCGCAGTGAAGATCCTCTCGATATATTGAAAGAGCGCGGCCAAATCGACTCAATTCCTTCGAACCAAGTCGAGGACAAGCCTGAAGCCGAAGCCAAAGCCAAAGCTGAGGGTCTAGATTAGTTGTTTTGTTTATATTTCGTTTGTAAATTTCGTTATCATTTATAAACTTAAAATGTTTACATATTCAAACAAAACCAATAAAAAAACAACAATTTATCCTGAATGTTCCACTGTTATACATTCAGGTGCACAAATTGCTTGTCTCATTATATATTATATTAAGTCTCATTTTACTTGACAGCGCTGTTGATCCTCTTCTTCGATTGTAGAACTAATCGTATTACATATTTTTATCCAACCCATCGCTGCACATCGTTACAACAGTTTGTTCTGTTCCATAAACATTTTATCACTATATTTTATTCAGATTACATCTAAAACTCTCCACTTGCAAAATACAGGCCAATAGTTCTCCTAATATCGGCTGTAATTATCCATCATAAACTGTATACCAAAGCACTTCTTATCTGGATTGATAAATTTATTCGAGTATGTATTCATAAAAATCGTAATCTATATATATATTTGTACCCATTTGAAAGCCTTGAACCCGTTTACTGATAACACTGGAAGGTCATTTCAGTTTAATTTTTTGGATTTTGTTGAAATAATTTTTTTTCGTTTATTTATTATGCACAGGTTCCAATCCCTCGAAAGTCTAGTACCTATTCCTGAAGCTAAGAACACGCTCCAGCAAAGGCTCATGCTGCGTGAACTCGGAATCGGTGTACCCCGCGATGGCACTGAACAGATCCTGTTCACTGCTCACAGTGGATGTGCTCAGCTTGGCCTTCATTAGAGTGGAACCTTCGACAAAGTTATTGTAGAACTTTCCATCCTCAATGGCGAAATCACTGGCCACGCCAAGCAGGCCCAAAAGGTTTACTACAATTACTTGAGCCTCGGGCGACTCTGGATTTAGTTGGCCCTGGAGTCCCTCGAAGAGAGCTTGTAGGCCATAGACGTGGTCGAACTTCTGCTTTAGAGAGCCCGTCTGACGGACGACCCTGCCACGATCTAGATACGACTGGAGAGTTTCAGTTCCAGGACCACGATTGTTGGCCGGAACGCTCCTTACAACCTGATCCACAAACTCCAGCGTTATGTCCAGCATGTTGTCCAATTGAACCTCGCGAATTGCCTCGGCATATTTGAAGAATTGGGCGATGATGGCATATTGTGATTGAGGAGGAGCGGCACTACCAAGACTCTGTGGATTTAAATGTTCTAATGTTTCCTTTTTTTATTTATTCTTATAGGAAACTCACCAGCGCAGCCAGAGCCACAGCCACAATAAGAGAGTAACGCATCTTTGCCAAAAGTTTCGATTCAACTGCAAAAATGTAGAGCATGCTGAGCGTTTTTATGGGATTCGCATTATCTCTGGCAAGTTTTGGCGGAATCTGTGCTTTGATCTCATTATTTTAAATCATTTATTCGTATACATCTACATTAATAGCAGCTTTGGCCAAAATAATCGAAATTTCCGATGAGAATGCCCTCATGGTATTGGGGTTTTTGTTCTCCTGCTAGAAACTGGAGATAAGAGAGACAGAGCATTCCTCATCGTACAGACAGCTCGATTTGCTCTAACCAAATCTGAATTTCTGCGAATGCGTATTATTCTTACTGTAACTAATGGGAAACCAAGCGATCGGGGATATTCCCCCGATCACGGAAAGGCGTGGCACGCTCGGATCGAACAATAAATGGCAGAGTTTTGTCTATATAACAAAATCACTAGTCTTTTCTATTATGTGTAAGGATGTAGAAGTATTTGTAAAGGATCAAGAATGTATTTTTGAGCACGTGGAGTCGTGGCACGACCAGATCGGATAAGAAATAGCGAAGCTATAGCGATCTAACTAAAAGTCTATTACAAAAGAAAGTTTAACGGCATATCCTGATCGTCCTTTATGTCAATGATGGATTCAAACGTAAGAAGTCATCCTGCCGATTACAAGGACACCCATCCCGTCAAAATCGGATGAGAAATGGCCGCGTTATAGAGATTTAACTAAAACTCAGTTTAAAATTAACGGACCATATGTGGCGCCCCACAACTAGCGGTCAGTTCTCGAACTACGCCACAGATGGCGATCGTCAGTGAACATTTAGTTCAAGAAATAGCCGGTGGGGGCGCCACTGTGCAATCAAAAAACACCAGCAGCTTTCTGCTGATTTATGTTCGCCTGGTATCCCACATCAATTTCACGTTGTCGGCCGCAATCGCGAATGCTCAATGCGAGAAATTGGTCTGTGGTACCAGGCCACCAGAAATCAGCAGAAGGTTGCTGGATTTCTTTTGTGGGCCGGTTTGGGTGGGACATGGCTTCCTGTTGTTAAAAAAAAAATCACGCAAATCCCGTTTTGTTTTCTCCATTAATTGTGGTTTGATCTGGGTGTGCGATGGCTTCCTGTGATCGGATTAAAATCCTTGCTTTATTGGAGTCCTTATCAAGGACAAAGGATCAAGGATATCTTGTTTTCTCCGTTATTTTGTGTGCCGATCAAAGCATGCTATGGATATCCTAGATCCTTCAAAAGGATATCCCCAGTCAAAAATATTTAATTTTCTCGGATATTTGTGGCCCGATCTGGTATGGCCATTTTGTCCTGTGACTGGAAAATTGTCCTTGATCCTTGACAAGGACTCGGAAATCCTTTGCCATACAATTCTGTTTTCCTATCGTTGAGAAGAGCAAGTCGAGTAGGTTAGTAAAAATGGTAATTTTTATTCAAATATTTATTTGATTTATGTATTATGGTAATACTTATTTAAATGTACATAAATTGTATTTAAATGGTTTTCGGCTTACGACTAATATTGTTTTCGAACGCAATGTTTGTATCTATATCGTATGTATATACTTTCCTTGAATATATACAGCTGTATGTGGTTGTTTGTTGCCTGCGCAGATTCTTACGTATTTTGCTTCTAGATGCGCTCCTGTCGTCCCCCGCCCTGACCCCGTACTTTAAATCCGTTTAATTACACCTACAATTTGTATACGGAAATAGACTATAACACTTATAGATACCATACCATACCATATACTCGTTTATATATACATATATATATATATATGCATATATATATGTATGCATTTAAACTTATACGAATATCTATGTGTATTTTACAGACTACCAAATAAATTAGGTTCATTCGTTTGTTTAACGTAAAAAGCGTTTTCGTAGAGCCTACCGGAAAGCTAGAGTAAAAAAAATATATATATATATCCTATGCGATGCCTAGCTAGTGTTGTTGGTAGTGCTGATGATTAGGCTCCCCCCTGTCCCTGTCTTCCTCCCTCCCGCCGTCCACTCAGTATCTCGATGAGGTGAAAGCAGCAGTGCTCTCCGTTTCGGCCGGAAGAGGCGGCGGTGGCGGCATCTGGTAGTAGTAGCCGGGATACGGTTGCGTGGAAGGATACGTTCCTCCTGAATGGTAGCCCGACGTTGTTGCTTCTGGCGCTGCCGGACCCTCGGAGCTGATCATCGACTTGGCATTGGCATTCGTTGCTCTTATCTATAATCCACTGATGATCACCTCCTGCTGGGCTTCGTCATCCATATCGGGGATCTCCTGCTTATGCACAATCATTCCATCCGCTCCGGGTTGGCGCGGGGCCGTCTGTCCGTACTTCTGGTGGATGCCACGATGGCGTTTCAGCGCAAAGCGATCGGCAAATGCCGCCGAGCAGATTTCGCACTTGTAGGGCTTTTCTCCGGAGTGAACCTTGGCGTGGTTCTTCAGATGCGCCGCCTGGGAGAAGGCCGAGCCGCATATTTCGCACTTGTATGGCTTCTCGCCGGTGTGGATACGCCTATGATTCCACAGCGTGGCATGGCGTGCGAATCCCTTGTCGCAAACTCCACACACATACGGACGCTCCCCGCTGTGCGTCCGCTCGTGATTCTTAAGATGTGGCGATTGAGAGAACTGCATGCCGCAGGTTTGGCATCTACGCGAAGGGGGAAACCCATTAGTAAATCAATACGGATATAGAAAGTAAGTGGACACTTACTTGTACGGCTTTTCCCCCGTATGGATGCGCGCGTGGTTTTTCAGATAGACAGCCTTGGCGAAGGCCAGTCCACAAATGCTGCATTTGTAGTTCTTTTCGCCGCTGTGAAGCTTCTTGTGGGACCACAGACTCGAGTAGCGCGAGAACAGACCACCACAAATATTACAGCTGAAGGGTTTCGAAGGATTTCTGCATGACGAACACCTTGGTTTTGTTAGCGTAGATTTGGGGTTGATCTTTAGCTTACTACTCACTCGGTTTTGACGGTAACGGACGACTTGACCGAGCCACCGGCTCCGGTGCCGTGGGAATGTTGCCCGACCAGCACCACGCCAGAGCCATTGCACTTTTGGCACTTGGTCATCTGCTGGGAGTTGCGCTTTTTCACTGGATGGTGTCCTGTTCCGGTATTTGGCTCACGCTTGGGTGTCGTGCCACCCGTCTGTGCGGCCACAATTTGCTGGAGCTGCGCCTGAGCCTGGGGTGTGGTTGATATGATCTGCACGGGATGCGCCATTTGACCTGCACATCAAGGGAATGCATTAAATTTCGTTTCCTAATCGTTTCGTTTGCGCCACCACTCACCATCCTGCGCCACGAAGAGTTGCTGCTGCTGGGCCGCCTGCTCCGCCTGCATGCAAGACTCACATCGGACTTGCTTTGGACCCTTTCGTTTGGACTGCGGCATCATGGAGGTTCCGCAAGTGATGCACTTGTTGGCCTTGGAATCATGTTGCTGTTGCTGCATCACAGACTGCTGTACGGGATCCAGCGTATCGGACGCCACGATTTGTATTTGGCCCATTTGCCCGTTGTTGATGATGTTCTGTGCCTGCACCATGCCCTGGGCATTCACCACAGCAATGGAGTCGCCTCCCTGCTGGGAATTGTGCTGCTGCTGTTGCTGCTCACCCTCGGTGTGCATCCGCTTGTGGGCGTTGAGCAAGGCCAGGTGTGGAAACATGTCGGAGCAGACGTCGCACTTGAAACTGATGTTGGATATGGTATTCTGCAACGGAAAGAAGCAGTTTACATCTGATCAGGACAGCTCCCTCTATAAGTTGTACTTACCGCTGCTATCGGCTTGTTCTGATTGACGATTTGTATGCGTCCCTGGGCATCCACTGTGGCTATGCCCAGAGCAGTGCCCTGATTTAGGGGCATTCCGTTGACCAGAGCATAGTTATAGCCCCCAACGGGCTGGGCTATGTAGCAAGTCTTGTTGTCCTCCGAGGTAGCCAGCTGTGCGAGATTTACAGTACCTCCATTGCCCTAAACGAAGACACACCACACAGAAAAAAAATTAGAGGGACACAGTTCCAGGAATCACGTTGCACAACTCACATTTGTTGTATAGTAAAATGTTGGCTGCTGCTCCGTTTTTTGGCCCTCTATTTTCGGCTGCTTCAGAATTGTGCCGTCTGCTGTTTGATATTGTATTGTGGCCGGTTGCCCATTGATAGCATTTGTAAAGATTATGTTTTTGGTGATGTCTTCCATCGTGTAGGCAAGTCACTTTAAAAGACAACAAAATCTTATATTATTTTATTATTTATTCGCCAGATGCATTTGAAATTTCTGATTGACGTTTTCCAACAATCAAACACGCGACGCCAACAACGTTCAAGTGCGCAAGAGAGACGAATATAGTGTACACACAAAAGGCAGGGAAAAACGACTGATTAAAAATGGCGACGATGAGACAGAAAATATGTATGCGACACAAAATTCATTAATTCGAGCGGCTGCCGCCACTATTTCGACCTTTCACTATGCTCATTTCCGTCGTATTCATGCCGCAATCACTTTGCAAATACCCTCAGAAACTTATACATTGCCCACCTTTCGTTTTCACAAGTTACCTTTTATGCAACCAGCCACACACCAATTTACAAATTCTCTAGTACCAAACGATTTTTCTTCAATTCGATTGATCCGAAAGGTTTTTATTGAACAGCCGGCTTGGATTCTTATTTATAGCACTTCAGTTTTGTTTAGAATGAAAGCAAAACGTTGTATTATTGTTTTTTCTTTTTCTAACAAATTCCAGCACTAAAACTTTCTGCCTGTTCTTTCGAATGAGTGCAGAAGGGAGATGGAGCGAGATGCTTGCTTGTGTGTGTTGTGAAAAGTATGACAGCACGCCCAGGGAGAGAGAGAGAGAGCGTGGTAGAGTTGTAACGTAGCGAAAGATAGCGTGCTGTTAGCGCAATGTTAAACAGAAAATTTAATTTAATAAATTTAGTAATAAATAGTTCGCAAAACATAAGGAAAATATGCGTATACAATTTATTCTTTTTTTTTTTTGTAGGAAACTACCAAAGGCTTATTTCTAAATAGTCTGTTTTATTTCTAGACTTGACAGAGGGTGCTGTTAAGCGCACCTTTCTTTTTTTTTTTTTAGCAACACACGTTTGTTGCCCCAGCAACATTTGAAGGCGGGCAGATTTGAAATTCGGATTCGGGCGGATTTCTGCCAGAGGACTTATAGATAAAATATACCGTCCGACCCTTGCTTTTCTTGGATTTGAATAAAAAAAGGTTTTAGCGAAAAAGGTCAAACAAAAAACACGTAAGAGAGTAATCGTTCCTATAGCTCAAACTTGATATTCCGTTGAATAATGCTGTTGTCACGCCAACCTTGTTTTTATTTGAAGACAGACAACATATCGTTGTGGTAGCTTTAAAACAGAGACTAATCAGTTTTTTCCATCATTGGAGTCTGAGATGACAAACATTTTCTCAATTCTATTATATGTATTCATTTCTAGGGTATGCAGATCCGAGCCATGTTGAGGGATAATGCTGCTCGTTGTCTCGGCACATGAGGCTGGCGGTTCAAAGAGAGCATTAACGGATTCAGAGAGAGCATTTGAAGAGATCTAAAAGAGCCGAGTGGTGCGCGCCAAAAAGAAATTGTTTGAAAGTGACCGCGCCACAAGAATCTAAGTGCAATCCATTGGAATAAATTATGCACGCAAGGACGATTTGAGAGCGAAAATTAAAAAAACCCTGTGAATGGAAGGGTATAGCCCTTTGTTCTCAAATATGCCTTTATAAATTAAATTTAATAGATTGATGCCCAGGAGAGAGAGAGAGAGCGTGGTAAGGTATTGTGTAACGTAGCGAATGATAGTGTGCTGTTAGCGCAATGTATGGAAACCTAAGGAATATTTCTAAATAGTCCGATTTATTTCTAGAAATGACAGAAAGTGCTGTTAAGCGCACCTTTCTTTTTTTCAGCAACACACATTTGTTGCTGAGACACATATTTAACCACCAGCAACATTTGAAGGCGGGCGGATTTGAAAGAGCGGACTTGGGTAACGCGTAAACAAAATGGTGGCAAACCGAAAGAGTGTGAAAAAGATTGATTGACGAAGGAAATATAATCAAAAAGATGGATTGAAGGACACAAAGGGGGTGGTAATCACCCCCTATGAGTTCCGGAAACGCCGTAGATTGTGAGAAGCGTCTCATCATATTTCTGAGAATGTATTCCAGTAATGTCAATGCGCTGTTTCATTGTTGACATATTTTGTTGCGATAACTCTGTCCTTTCTTTGATGTTATTTTTATTAGCCAACTGGAATGAATCGATGGATTATATGTACATACATTAATTTTAATCAGTTGATTATTTCAACATTATTTCATTTCATCCTTCTTGAGCTGTTCAGCACAGAAAAATCCACGGTTTTCTTATATAATCAGTTGCATTTTGGATTGTGTTGAGAGAAGTACTAGCAATGCAATGTTCCATTGTTTTCATATTATTTGCGATAACCTTTGGGAGATCCATGTCACAGCATTGTGAGGTGAGGGCAGCATTGAGTTTATTGACAGCATAAATCTAAAGAACATTAATGCGCCCCAATAGGTGGATGAATCTCAACACGAGTGCGGCGGATACTGTTACGGAGCTGTGAAACCGGTCCTGGAGTACCTCGCCATCCTTCAAATGCGAGTGGAGTCTTACGAGGCCAAACAGCCCGCAGATACTCTATCGAAAATCGCGCAAATGGACAAAAAGTTAGAGACTCTAGGAAGAGAGTTGGCGATCCAGCAGGAATTGGAAAAGAGCTCACAGTCCGCAGATACTCTCAAACAACTGGCCAAAATTGATGAAAAGTTAGAGGCAGGATTAGGAAGACAGTTGATGATCCAGCAGGAACTGGAAAAGAGCTCCAAACAGCTAGCTGATACTCTATTAAAAATCGCACAAAACGACGAAAAATTAGAGGTTCTAGGAAGACAGTTCGCAATTGAGCTGGAGTTGGAAAAGAGCTCGCAGATGAGGCTTCAAAGATTAGAGCTTTTCGAAAAAATACGGTCCAATTATTATTACATAGAAAGAAATAGTAAAATTAACTGGAAAGATGCATTGGATAAATGCCATAAGATGGGGCTCACTTACTGAATCTGGAAAGCAAGGATGAGACGAAGGCACTCGGCAGAATGCTGAATAAGACCCAGAGATATTGGATAGATGTGAACGATATAAAAAAGGAAGGAGAGTTTATTTCGGCCACTACTGGCTTGCCGGGAACATTCTTTCACTGGCAGGAAAACGAACCCAATAACAAGGAAAGCTCTGAAAATTGCGTCGAGCTAATTACCGCCGAATTTTGGATGAACGACCAATCATGCCATTACGAAAATTACTTTATTTGTGAGACACCTTGGGATTCACTGTAACCTATATGACGATTCAGATTATATTACAAGTTGTGTGAAACATGCAACTGAATACAAATTTTAAGAACGTTTACACCTTTTAAAACTAGTGTGCCACTTAAATACTTAGATGAGCTGAAAATCCCGGCGGTACTGCAATACAGCTAGTCGCTAGCATTCCGTCTGATTCCAAAAAATCAGTTTAACAATTGTTGTTCTCCAATGGAGAAACCATCAAATGTTAAGCTAATAAGAACGTTTCTTGGCCATTAGGGAGAGAGGCAATGACTGAGCTGGCAAAACCATTTGTTTTTCTTGCTCCACGTGTGAACGTCAATCAAGATTATTGCAAATTTTAAAAACACACCCAAAGAGCATGGGCGGCAGTTTTGCGAAAAGTCTGTGCATGACTAAAGCAAAATGAAATCATAAACAGAAGATTGTAGTCTTGGGGTATATTCTATAAACGAAATTAGTGGCTAAGCTATGATCACTTCGGGGATTGTTTGGATTCTTAAGATGAGGAACCAGAAAGCAATTCAAATTATTTTGGTATGAAAGCAGATCGGTTTATTGTTGATTTGGTGTTGAAAACTAGCTTAATATTTTGTTCACGTTTCTTCCGCATTTCCTAAATTGGAAAAGTGCTGTGGTGGCCATAACATTAATAACAATAAACGTTTAATTGAGAAATGTATGTATACCTATGATAATTGCTTTTATCTACCTGTGCACCCTTATAGATGGTATTTTCAGTCGAAATATCGTCAAATCTTTCTATCTTGTATACAAGATACATTTCATAAACACGTTGAAATCCTATCTATCACATTCTGAATTTTATTTGGATTAGACCATATCCAAACCCCGATCTTAAGCGAAAAATCTTCTTTAAATATTTCTTGAACAAGGCAGCACTGGGTCTCCACAATCTTTACCAGCATTCCCCCAGATTGTGGCCAATTGTCACGACGTGCAACCAACTGCTGCCGACAGTTTCGTGACATGCGTTGAACGTTTTAAAGCAAATACGAAAAAACTGAAAATTCGTTTGCAAAATTAACCTTGAAATTGCTTGCAAAATGTCTGCTATTACAAGCCTCAGTTTGGAGCGACGCGCCGGTGCTTAAAACATGTTAGGCCAGTGCTGGGGGGCTTTCCGAGAGAGTGGTACGATACTCGTACAACGGGGGGAAGAAAGCTGAGGAGAAACGGTAATAGTCGAATAGCCGAATAGGAAACTGGTTTGGCTGAACTTGACCCGCAAACGTTGTGTGCCGTCCGCCCTATGACTAGATATTATTCCATAATTTCCCATTACCACAGGCTCTGAAGTAAACAAAAATCGTATTACGTTGTTGTGGCATGGAGTCGCTTTCTTGTAAACAGAATTCTTCAGTATGAACAAAACAGTCATACGCCGCAGAGAACAACAACAGCTGATTCTTCAATGAGCCGCTGCCGCTGCTGCTGGTGCTCTGCCTCTGCTGCTTCCGTCATGTCATGAAAAGCTTTGCGACAACCAGCTTTTGCGAGCTTTCTCGCCCAAACGATCGCGTCGCTGGGGAGCTAGTTTTATTCGTAGTTTGAAAATTTACGCACAGACATCGGACAGGCAGCGGAGCGGCACGAGCCGGTATATAAATAAATTCAATTAAAGAAAACAGAAGACAACAAAACAAAAACAATAACATTTCATATTTTCACGTCGCAATGCCGGAAAAACTGTGGTGGTGTGACTTTCGTTTGTGCCGGTAAGAAAAAGATTTAAATCAACTTTTTTCATTCGCCCAGCGATCACTCGCGTGGAAGTGGATCTTCGGATCGGTTGGAGCATATACGACCTTGCCTAACAACAACATAAAAAAAGAAAAAAGACAAGCAAAGGTTAATTTTTTTGGAATTGAGTTTGCAAATAGAAATTGATTTGACTCGAGTGACAATCTTTAAACAATTTGCATATAAATACCTTACAAATATGTCATCCAGAGAGCCTAAATAATCAGATCGTGGGAGAGATTGCCTGGTGCGACAATGACCTACTGAAATCTTTCTAGAGCTATCTATGCATTTCCATATTTAAAGATGGTTTGTGGCTTCAATTATAGCTATATTTGGTTTCTTTGGGGAATGACTAATAACAGGTGTAAATAAAGTGGAATTACTTATTAAATACACCCGAACTCTACCCCTACTATTTACATTTTGAGATCCTCTTTGAGATCAGCTTTGACATCATTTCTAACCGTCATCTTCCATTGTTCACCTGCCAGTCATTGACACGATCATCTCTCCCATTAAACTTAGGACCCCCAATGAAAACAAACTACAGATTATGGAATGGAAAATACTGAGGTGGAAAGGGTTATAATTAGACAAAGCCAAAGTCTTCAATGGGTGGTCCCGGATCGCTGATAGCTGATAAGGCAATCATCGAAGCGTTCGTTGTTCGGGTAATAATCGTTATAGAGATTAGCGAGCTTTCGATTGGATCAATAGATATTTGCGAAACACACAGGTGTGAGATTATTTATGACATCCGGCAATCCTTCCACCTGATCTCCATGCAGTACAATACCTTTTATGCACATCACATTTACAACAATTCGATTTCATTCACTTGCAGTTGAACAACCTCGTCAGACTACACCAGACCAGACCGTCCTCGTCTGTCCAAAAGTTCACTTTTGACGTCACTTTCCCTGGTCGCACAGAGAGTCGGCAGAAATTTCTAATCAGCTTCGGTCTTTCGTACGAGTGTTCCTTTATGAGTGTGAATTTCCTGAAGAGAGTGTACTTTGTGCCCTTGAAGGTGAATCGCTGAAGAACAACGGCACGCGCCGGATGCCCTCAGTGTCAATCGAATCGAATCGAATCGAATCGGATCGGATCGGAGAGGGCCTTGTTCTATTGTCTATCGCCCGCTGAAATCGACCAAGAGCCATAGCAGATGGGCGAGAAATATTACGCATAATTAAATGGAAATAACAATTGCAAAATACATACTATAAACCCATGAAGTGCATCGCGCTGCTGATTAAGTGAGTGTACTATAAGTAATCGTAGCATCGATGGACCCCAGTGGATCGGCCAACTTATCAGCGCGCGTAAAACAATTGTAAAAACATAAGTGTATGTGAAATCAAAGCAAGCGCGTGTACATCTAACGAAACAACAATTGCAAAATAATAGTACTAGTTTAAAAAAAAAACAACAAAAATTGCAACAAAAAAAATGTAAAAACCAGCCGAACAAAATTTATAACGAAAGAAACGAAACACTATATTCGTAGTTAGTTTTAGTATCAGCTCGTAACACCAACAGAGCAGGCCGTGAAGGGGCCGACTCTGGTGGCTGTTTGGCTAAATACAGAGAGCCACAGAGCCACAGAGCCCAGCCGAGCTGTAGAGCCGTAAATCCGAGAGGCAGGCAGGCAGGCAGGCAGGCAGCACACTGGCTAGTCAGCCAGCCATCAGGCCGGCAGAGAGGAGGTAACAAAAACCGACTGCACGCGGGCCAAACTGTGTCAGTGCTTGGATGACTTCGACGGCGCTTGTTCCTTTTCCCGAGTTAACGCTCCCAGCAAGAAACTACCAAAAAGTTATTACTAAATATTGCGAGCACACATACAACATGTTGTACCAACGGCTAATGCAATGCTCTACCACCAATAGTTGTTGCAGCAGCGGCGGCGGCGGCAACTGCACATCGATTGTGCCCCGACTGCTGCTGCTGCTGATGTTGCTGCTGCTGCTGAGCGGACAGATCGAGTCGGTGGATGGACACAAAGTGACGGTAAGCGAATGTGCGGTGTTCGGTGTTCGATGTGCAACCAAAGTGGTCAAGCTGGAAGATTGGCAAAGATTGACCAGATACAGGTACATTGGGTAACGCTAATTAGACAATTTGGCCTGCATTGCGTATACTTGATGCAAAATGATGGTGCAATAAATCATAGAACGGAGAATGGATTCCTAAAGGTCTGAAGATCATGTTCTAGACAGTCGTAATTCGATAATTTGTACACTTTCCCCGATTAGATTGGGCCACTTACTCATATTCTGCTCGGAAAAGAAACCAAAGACCACTTTAGAAACGATTCATCGATTATATAGCGGCTATAATTGCACAAATTTGTGTATTTTATTTGTTGCAGTTCAAAGATTACCAAAACAAAGGAATATTCATAGAGATTAGAGTGCATTTGCTTAGTAACGAATAGGAAAAGGAAAGAAAATCGGAAAAGTTGAGCAACAGATCTAGGGAAGATCCGAATGATTAAAGAAGGGAAATTTACCTAGAAGCTATTAATTACCATTAAGTGGAGAGCTGTTTCTTATGAATCACTGAGAAATAGATCGATTGACACTTGTTTTTTCAATGGTATCATTATCAATAGTTACCATGAGCTGACTTTTGCACACCTGATCGCCACTAGATACGAGCGTGTATCAAATTATCGGCATGACATACGAAGCTATGTTTCGTTATAAGTCTTTCGCACTTGTTGATAAAAAAATGTTTAGTTTTTGTTAGAACATGCGCCGGGCAGGCCCCTGGCTTTCCCCCTTTCTATATGGCCGCCCCCGTAAAATGCTTCCGTTCGCGCGCATGATTAGCGCAAAAATCAACTACGAACGGGTCATATATATTCTGTACGAGTATTTCTACTAGTCTGTGTGGGAGAACGCGAAGAACATAATGTACATACATATATGTACGTACATATGTAGGGAGACACGTATGGCATATAGCAGCGATCACCCGATCTGCTTCTGATCCCCGATGCCTGACGCAGCGATCTGCGATCGGCAAATATCAGCTGCTCTACTCCTCTGATAAGATGTTTAAGTACGAAACTATGTATAGCCCACAAATCAACTCTTGCTAATCGAAGAAACAAAAAGAAAGCTTGCCAAAATGTCTGTGTATTATATATGGTATATGTATACTATATAGCAGTGCGGGTCCGCCTAATGAATGGCCCACGACATGGGCTGATTCCTTGCTTTTTGCTCGACGTTTCTATTATTCCCATGTTTATCGCTCGTCGGTCTGCTATGACGCGCTCTTTGTGCTTGGACTTTGGCCTCTCTATGGTCGGGTCGGCTCGTTGGGTTGGTCGAGTGCTGAGAGCCTCTCACCGTGCGGCTTTGTTTATGACATTATCTGAAGCGAAGCGGTCTTACCCTTTTTTTGTGCAAAAAGTTACCTAAGATACAGGAAGGTATACAGATGCAGATACAGATAGATAGCCGTATCATCGTTCTTAAACTTGAGAGCTATATAACAGATTCTTTAAGTAGATGATCTCATATTGGGCATACAAGAAAACTTGATCCAAGGAGTACATTACCAGGAGTATTTGGGAGTTTCAATAACAGACTACCCTTTTTTCAGGCCACTCTAATCACAAACCACAACTATCCCGTGGAAGAGCACACAGTACACACGCCAGATGACTACATTCTCACCATCTACCGCATTCCCACGTCCCCGAAGCTGCAGCTGCATTCGAATGAGACGATCCAAAAGCCAGTGGTATTCCTGCAGCATGGCATCCTCTGTGCCTCCGATGACTGGATCATCAATGGCCCGGAGACGTCGCTGGCCTACATGTTCGCCGATGCAGGATACGATGTCTGGCTGGGCAATGCCCGGGGCAACACCTACTCCCGCCAACACAAGCACATCCATCCGGATACCTCGGACTTCTGGAAGTTCAGTTGGCATGAGATTGGAGTCTACGATCTGGCTGCCATGCTGGACTATGCTCTATCGGCGAGTAATGCCAACTCGCTGCACTTTGTGGCCCACTCGCAGGGCACTACGACATTCTTTGTGCTGATGTCCTCGCTGCCGTGGTACAACGAGAAGGTGCGATCGGTGCATCTACTCGCCCCGATCGCCTACATGCGCAACCACTCGTTCATTCTGTCCAAGCTGGGAGGCATCTTCCTGGGTTCTCCCTCCTTCCTGAGCTGGATTCTGGGGAGCATGGAACTTTTGCCGATCACCAGCATGCAGAAACTCATGTGCGAGCACGTCTGCTCAGAGGGATCCATGTTCAAGTTTCTGTGCTCGGGGCTGCTCGACTTTATCGGTGGCTGGGGAACGCGACATCTCAATCAGGTGAGGATCTTAATCGATCTCTTTCGAGTATTCTCTTGTAATCTCTGTTTTCGTTAGACCCTTCTTACAGATGTGTGTGCCACCCATCCGGCTGGGGCCTCCACCAGTCAGATCATCCATTACCTGCAGCTCTACGCCTCCGGGGACTTCCGGCAGTACGATCATGGCAGGGAGCAGAACGAGATCATCTACCAGCAGTCAACGCCACCCGCCTACAATGTGAAGAACATCAATAGCTGCGTTCACATGTACTACAGCGACAACGACTACATGTCCGCCGTGGAGGATGTCGAGTATCTGGCCTCTCTGTTGCCCTGCGCAGAGCTCTACCGCATTCCGTACTCGGACTGGAACCACTATGACTTTCTGTGGTCCACCAATGTGAAGGAAGTGATCAACAATAGGATAATAGACAAAATGGAACGATACGACATAGAACACGCCACAGGAATGAGTTTCTAGGGGAGATAGCCAGATAGCCACGCTCTATAGCGGGCTATAAGAACAATTTTAGCCAAATCTAAGCACTGTACATAATGTATAAACTATTCTATAATAATTTAGCTAGCAATCATAATGAGACAATGAGCCTGTGCGTGATATTATAGTAATTAAATAGCTCGTAAGGTTGCTTAAGGTTTGTGAATCAGCTCCTACGAATTTTTGTATATATTTTCCATAAATTGCAAATGCTAATACAGGTGAATTTTTTTGAATGTGCCGCCATTTTACAAGTCTCTATGCAGCCCTGGCATGAATGGAAACCAGGGAACCAGTGCAGGTTACACTGTGATAAGTTATTTTTGCTTTGAAATTTCTGTTAGCTTGCTTTACGTACTGTTACTGTTTTGTGAGGTTTAAAGTTCATGATGACAATGATTTCCATTTAGTTGTTTTTGTTCTGTTTTGTTCAGGGCTTTGGTTTTAAAAGAGGAGTAGACTTTTCTCCAAATCAACCAGGGTTCCATTAAAGCTCGTTTGGGGAAAATAATAAGGGAATTTTGTGATTATAATATTTCCACTACTTGGAGTATAATCTACTAAAGAAACATGGTATAATAATGAACCAGGAAATGAACAATGAAACATTCCCACCTTCACTTTGTGAACATAAGATCATATAAATATATAATTGAAATAACATACAATTGATATTATTTTTAAAGGTTTTTTTTTACATAAATTAAAGCATGCTTCTAGGAGGTTTCTTATATAAAGTGCCTCAGAAGTTGAGTATTGCATACTTTTGTGGTATAAATTTTTCCATTACCGTCCATGTTCAAATCTGTGCTAATTGTGAGTATACTTCGGCGGGAGATGCTCCTGTTCTCTGTGCAAAATGTGGGCCGATTGGGACATGGATCCCTCTGGTTGTGTGGTATGCCACAAAAATGTTTGAAGAACTCTACCAGTACTATTTTGACTTGTTTGTTTATAATAAATGAACGAAATGATTAGATGGTAACCACATGAAATCGAAGGCGCAGAGGCGCTTATTCTTAAGTATTTCGGATGATGTTTTATTGCAGAATTAATGTATAATATAATGCAATAATGAACTTAATTCTCGCACGATTTCAGGATAGTTTCAATTAGTAAGTAATAAGTCCCTCAATACCATCATGGCCTCTACATTATCCATAATTTATGGCCCTTTTTTGTCCGCTACTAAAAAAATCCCTTGCAGGACATATTCCCATTTCTGGGAACCAAAAATCCAAACTGTTTTCGCTTTTTGTTTGTGTGGTGCTCCAGCTTTAAGTAGCAGCAGCACCGCGGCGGTGCCGTCATAAATTACACTTTCAAATTATTGGTCATGTTGCACATTTGTGGAAAAGCCACGAGGTGCGAGGTATGGCTGCCACATTTGGGTCAGCTGCCGCAACAGCTGTGGATGGATGTCGTTGCCACCGCCAGAGCCGCCTCCACAGAGTGCCACAGACACCGCAGCAGCCTTCAAACGCTAATGCGGATTTACATTTTTATTTAATTTAATTTTCATTTTATTCATTTGGCCAAAATTAATTGCTGGCTGGCTTTAATACAATGGACGCTGCGGCTGTGACTGTGGCTGTGGCTTTTGGAGCGCGAACTTCGTGGCAGAGCTGCGGATTGCAAAACCCAAAAGAAAGAAAAGACCACGGATCTGACGGTTTGGATGGATGGCTGTGGATGGCTTGGAAGACTCTACCACGAAGATGGATAGTTGTGGTAATTAAAGCAGCAACAATAATGTCTTGATTGCAAATTCATTTTTTGGTTCAACGTTCTGGGCAGGCAGGCAAACATTTTCCATGCCGCACGCTCCGTTGCACATCATTGCATTAACTTGTACGCTTACACTCGCCGAGTTTTGAAGTTTTGCAGCTCAAAGAAAAATACTACATAAATATTTCAACATTTGCGTGGCCTGGCGATTTGTTAATATATGTACAATGTACAATGTACAATGTACATCGGTACCTTTTGTCTTTCTGTCTGCCTGTAAAACACGATCACTGCTAGACGACTGCCACGAGTACTCGTAGCTGCTATTATAATTAAGTTCATGGCAAGCACAACACAGAAACAGAAACAGAAGCCCCCCCCCCCAGAAAACACTTTCAAAAAGCCCATAAAAATAGCAACGCAACTGCTTGGAAATACTTGGACGAGTGTACGGGCATTGTCCATCCAAAGTAAAGCAGCGCAAGTGCGTGGAGAAATTTCCTATGCCGTATATTTTGGTATCCACACGAGGGAACACAGCACCGAAAATGTTGAGATATTGGATCATCGACTAGCCATGTACCCTAAGGCTGTGGGGTGGTTAAATTGTAGGAGAATTTGGAACGCTTCAACGGCCATGAATCACATGTGCTCCATCCGATGTGCTCTAGAAATCTTTTGAGTAGAAATTTTGGTGCGAGAAAGGGCAATAAATTATACTAATCTTTGCGGCAAATTTCTCTCTAGAGGAAATTTGGTTTTGCAGAAAGAAACATATTCCAGAAAATCTGTGAAAAATGCTGCTTAAGCAAAAAAGAAATTTTCGGTTTTCCTTTTGCGTGAAAGAATTGAAGGAAAATTTCTCTAAGAAAAACTTTCAATTGTAGAAAAGAGGAGTTCCAGAAATCTTTTTGTACACAATTAAATTGTGAAATAATATGAAAACTCCAAAAGTAATTCCATTCAGTTGTTGAGAGTTTTATGTTCGTTCACTGCTCGCCCATTAAGCTTTTTTAGGCGTTTTTTTATAGTGTAACTTAATTTATTTTACGCATACTATTAGCAACATGTTACAGAGAAAATGGCAACGTAATTAAACAAATTTCAAGAGTTTTCAGAAAGACTAAACTGCTTTAAAGTCTATCCTTAAAGTTATTGGAGAAATAATTTTGAAATGTAATTCATATAAAGACCAAACAAAGGAGAGTATTTTGGAAAAATTCTTTATCCAATTTGTGGGATAAAGGATCGTGTTGCTTTTTCCTAGATTCCCAGCTAGTACGAAATTTTCTCCTCCAAACTCTAGTCCAATTAATGACCGAGTACCCCCAATGCCAATGGCAATGCCAAGTGGCCATTACAATTTTACGAGTACGAGCCGTAGTTGCAGTATCCCCCACATCTATTCACTTACGCTTGAACCAAGCTTTACTTTATTTCTCGTCGGCATCTCTTTGGCTTTCGGCATTCGTCTGGTGGTTTTGTTGCATGCAAATGAGTCGCGTTTTATCGCAGGGGGGGCCAAGAACTGGGGGGGACACGAGACAGTAGACAGCAGACGATAGATAGGCGGGGGGGAAATACAGAAAAAAATACATACAATAAATAAAAGCAAGTAGCATTGCGTTTTCACTTTCGCATCCCCCCCCTGGTGGAGGCCGCTCGCATTGCCTTCGCTTTTCATATTTACAGTTTACAGTTAATTTATGCCGGCACAACGAATTTTCACTCTCGCTATTTTTCCGCATTTTAGACTGGGAAAGTGGCTGCGCATCCGCCAAAAAATCCAACAAACCCAGGCCAAGCACACAAAAAAAAAAAACAGAAAAAAAGACAGGCAGAAGAAGGAAAAAGAAAATATCGGAATAAAAAATGCCATGTACTCGTACTGGTGGTCGTATACTATAAAAATAGCCAAAGCCAATGCCAATGTCTCCGCAGACGGAGACGGAGACGGAGACGCAGTCTAGAGTGGGCCCAAAATTTGTGGCCAAGTCCGAGGAGAGTCAGTCGGTGGCTGGGTAAGAGATTAGAAAGTGGTCGCCTGGCTGCCAGGTTTCCATCGAAGCCGCCGACGACTCTAGCTCCAACTCAAACTCCGACTCCAGAGCGCGGCCAGACATGGCAGATTCTTTGTGAAAAACTGTGCCGCAGCCAGCAGCCAGCAGCCGATGAGGGGCACCCCAGACACACACACTCTGCGCGAGGTACGACTCGCAAGTAATTGGCATTTTTGCATGCAGTTGCAGTTGTTGCTGCACCAGGAACCGGCTGTGGCTGTGGCTACCAGTGGATCGATCAGAGTGGAGTCGGAGGAGGCCCAATGAAAGAGAAAATTGGCCCCAAATCAAGTTCACTATCATTGAACGTCTGCCCCGATGGCGGTTTCTGTAAACTAATATTTTAAAATTGTTGATTATGATGACTTTTCATTTCGCTGAGATCTGGATTGCAGCGCATCAGAGCCACGGCATCAGCGGCAGTTGCAGCAGTATCCCCCATCATCTTTGGGGCAGCATCTGCGGCAGCAATTGCAGGCGGACAAAGTGTTTTTTTAATTTGACGTTTGGCCACTGCCCGCCGCCGGCGGAGGAGGCGGTACAAAGACGCATCGAGAGCCACGTCCACGGTCCGCTGCACTTCGATCCCCAGGAGAAGTTCCACACATCAAATGGGAAATGTGGAAAGATTTCGATTTAATATACAGCCAGACACCACCTACTATCGGTACAGTCTCCCTGCCTACAGTCGTACTTCTCTTAGAGGGATTTCCATCAACTACATTTTATGCCGATCTCTAGAGCCCCTGGAGAAATATTGTCATAGTTTCTAAAAAAATGGATAAGATGTTAGCCTCTATGTATGTTTCTTAAGTTCCAAGAGTCCTCAAGTAATGGGTTATTCTGCGGTAGATTAGGTTTTCCCATTTAGCGAGGGCTCCCCGTAATGAAGTCGTACCTGTAGTGCCCTCCAATATGCAATCACAGCAATGGTCATTCGGGGAGCGCTTCCCCAATCCCCAGCAGGGTATCTCTTTCCCACTCCCACACCCAGCTGTTATCCAACGAAATGGAAATGGCAAGCCATAATTCACGGCACATTGAATCTTTGGCCATCCAACATTCATCATCTAACCATCATATTGCAACATATATGAGGCAAGGCAAGGCAAGCCAATATGCGTGGTGGGCCGGCCACGCCCACTCCAAGTCCGACTCCAACTCCGACTCTGAAAAGTCAGGAAGCAAGGCGTTTGTTTGCCTTGGGGCTTGGCCCCCTACCTGGTCGCTTCCGAGTGCCTTTGCGAAACGCTTCTTAATGCGAGTTTTACGATTATAATGCAGTGTGTGTGTGGGGAAATAAGCGAAGCTTCGAAAACAAATTTGTATATCTCCGCAGATACAATGCTACCTATGTATATGTGCATATATGGGTAGTGGTACGGCTATGGCTCTGAGGTAGTGCTTATGTGACCCAATTGTGCATGGAAGAGGCGCACAAA